GGGCCTGCTGAGGCCTCCGGAGGCCTCGGAAGCCAGCGATGGTGCCGGGGGGAGGCCCCCACGGGGCCTGCTGAGGCCTCCGGAGGCCTCGGAAGCCAGCGATGGTGGCGTGGAGGGGACAGTATTTGCTCCATAAGACGCATACACTTCTCCCCCCACTTGTTTTGAGAGGAAAAGTGCGTCTTATGGTGCAAAAAATACGGTACTTTGACTTGTGCAAAGCACAACTTCAGTAGAATGTAAAGAAGGCAAGAAACATGACTATAGAAGAACCACACTTTAGAGTTGACAATGAAGAAACTGAAATAGTGATTTTGTATACCTTGATTTAATCAGTCTGAATAGGGACTCCAGCCAAGAAATCAGAAGGATACTGAGACTAGGAAGGAGAATAATGAAGGAACTAGGAAATATCATCAAATGTAAGGATGTGTCACTGGAGACCCAAAAACAAGATCATCTACACTCCTGTATTTCCAGTCACCATGTATGGGTGTGAAAGCTGGACAAGGGTGAAATTGATTCATTTGAAATGTGATTCTGGAGGAGAGCTTTGCAGATACCCTAGACTTTCAGAAAGACAAACTAGTATGTCCTAGTCAAATCAAGGCTCTGGAGGAAAAAACAATGAAACTGGGGCTGCCCTACTTTGGACATATCATGAGAAGACAGGAGTCTCTGAAAAATACAATAATGCTGGGAAAGGTTGAAGGCAACAGGAAAAAAAGAAGACCGAGTACAAAATGGACTGACCCTAAAAGAACGCACAGGCTTGAGTTTACAAGAGTTGAGCAGGGTAGTTGAGGACAGGATATTTTGGAGATCGCTCATTCATAGGGTCACCATACGTTGGAGATGATTTGACAGACATAACAAGAACACCCTCACCTGCAAGAATGGGATTACCATCTTATAGTAGACAACCTTGCTCTTGCCATCATCTTCTCCTATTCAGAAGGTTCATTTCTTCATCGTGGCTTCTTTGAATGCACACAAAAGGGCTAAATCAGCACCTGCGCTGGACCTCTTGGAATCTTCTAGAGCTTTAAGAGAAAAGTAACAAGTTTAAGTTACCCCTATAGCGCATGCTCTGCCCTCAGTTCCATTTTTCCGCCGTGCGATTTGGAACCTCTCACTTTGAGCTTCATTTAATACTTCCCTCAGACTGATTTTTTAACGGATATTTTTGACTTAGGACTTCCCTTGACTACTCTTTCATCTGTTGCCCTGAACTACGGACTGTTTTTGACTAATCTTTTTGTTTCTTGACTAATTAATCGCCTCCAGAATTTTTCCTGCTCTTTTTCCATCACCACGCGATCTGACTATCCAAGTAAGATTATTCTTTTTATTTTGCCCAGCTTATGTCCTGTTCTGGACCCTTCAGTAGGTGCGTTTTATGTTCTAGAAAACTCCCCTTTTCTCATGGATATGATCGCTGTCTTTTTTGCCTTTTTGCCTTTTCCCATCAGCCTCAGTCCTGTAAACACTACAAAGGCTTTACAAAAGCTGCTCTTAAGGCTAGGCAGCAGAGACTTAAATACCACCTTTTGGATACAACTTTATTGTCTTCAAAACCATCAGAAATGGAGATTTCTTCACCCTCTGCAACTCCCAGCTCCGAGGTTAGAAATATCTCACCTCAGTCCTCGTTGAGCAAGACTTTGGATAAGCCAGTAAAAAAGACCCCCGCTGCAAAGAAATCTTCCTCCTTGACACTGAAGACGACCTCCTCCACCAAGCCTCTAAAACAGAACAAGCCAAAGACAGCAACTAAGACTAAAGAGCACCATAAGTAGCTACCACCAGTCTCAGCATCGGTGCCTTCACCTATTCTCGAGGACTCCTCTCGAGATCGAGAGTCTATGTCTGAGGCAGCCCCTTCGCTTCATCCTAGACAAACTGAGCCTTTACCACCTGAAGGCGTCCCTTCTCCGACACCAAGCCAGCTTGCTCATGGTACTGCAGGCTTGGCTTCTGCCCCAAAATAGCCCTGTCTCGATCAGGCGGGCATCTTTTGCTCCATCTTCGTCATTTGTCGCTTCAAGACTGAATTCTCCGCCTCAGAAGTCTCCAGCTAAAACTGAACATATTTCTCCGGATCAACATCGATCTCCTCGACATGAGGTTGTGGTGCTCCCTTGGTCCTCTTGACGTCAACACAGAGAACGATACGACTACTCTGACCAGTACGAGTCCAGGAATAAGAAACACTGACATCAACGCTGAAGGGATTATTCTGACTCTGATTCCTCATCGACGTCTAGTGATCACCACAGAAAGAAGAAGAAAGTAAAATACTTATATACATCTTCCTCTTCTTCTCCCTCGACATCTCCTCCCAGGCACCAACATCGAAAACATCTCGGCGTCAACAAGAAAAAAGAGGTTGCACAGCGCACTAGAAAACATCCATTGGAGCCAGCTCCTCTGTTCTCGACCTTGACGATAATAAGATCCTCTCAGAAGACCACATTGTCTTCTCACAGTGTCGACAGGTGTTCTCATAAGAGACCTCACCCACCTTCAACTTCAGGACAAGAAGAAGTGTTCTCTGCTTACTCCTCTGCCCCAGAAGATGATGCCCTGCAGAAAGGTTCTGCTGAGGATTTGCCAGAAGGAGAAGTGGTGGAATCTGATGCAGCTGACAACCATGCGTCATCACCTTTGGAAGATTTTTCTTCTTACGTTCAAATGATCACAAGGATGGCAAAAACCCTCAAAATGGATGTTGAACAACCTGTTCCACCATCAGAAGATCTTATTTTTGGGGACGTAAATCAAGAAAGATCCCCACCTCTCAGTTTGCCGTTCATTCCGGCCTTAATGGACATAAGGACGCTTGGAACCACCCATCTATGTCTACCCCTATTTCAAGGCGCACAGAGAATTTATATCGTGTGCATGGGGATGAAACAAATTTTCTTTTAAAGCATCCTATTCCCAACTCGCTTATAGTTGAGACAAGTTGCTCACGCCCTACTGAAAAATCCCATGTTACTCCAACAAACAGGGAAGGAAGAAAATTGGAGGTCCTTGGTAGGAAGATTTATTCTCTCATCTCATTTCTTCTCCAAGTTACAAATTATCTAACAGCCTTGGGGGCCTATCAGAAGCAACTATGGTTACAAATTTTACCAGGCCTGAAACTAACTCCTGATGAGGTTCGACAAGTTTTTTTGAAAACTTATGAAGAAGCCCAGATGGTTTCTAAACATCAAAGGTTGGCATCTAGACATGCAACTGATGCTGCATCAAAAGTCCTCATGTCAGCTGTCACCTTACGAAGACATGCATGGCTCAGGGCAGCAAATATCATGGAGGATGTAAAAACACGTGTCGAAAACTTACCTTTCGATGCCAAAGGACTCTTCATTGAAAAAATTGATGGAAATCTGGAGGAGCTGCATAAAATGAAAAAGACAGCTAAGTCTTATTTTATACAACAACAGCCTAAATACAATAAATATCAGTGGCGTAAGCCATATCATCAATATTCGCAATCTGCTCAACCTTACAAATCCTTCGGAAACCAAAATCAGACCAGATCTTCACAAGCATCTTCGTTTACATCTAACTACTGCAGCGACAACCTTACAAACCACCTGCAAAAAAAAGTCTAAGCAGTACCTTTGACTCCACCATGACACCATTCGGACACATTCAGACAACCCAACTACACCCCTTTCTACAAAATTGGATGAACATCACAAAAGACTCTTGGGTCTTAAACATTATTCAATTCGGCTACCAGCTGGAATTTACAGAATATCCTCCTTTAGGACAGGTCAAGCATACATCCTTCGATCCTGTTCTAAAAGACGAAGTTCTCTCCTGCAAAAGCTAGCCATTCAAATAGTTCACCCAAAGGACATAAAACGGCTACTACTCCCGTTACTTTGCTGTTCCAAAAAAGGATGGAGGGATCAGGCCTATTTTGGATCTACGAATGCTAAACACTTACCTTCATCCAAAATGCTTCCAAATGGTGATATTGGAGTCCATAATCCACCTGTTAAGAAAAAAGAATTGGTTTATGGTAATAGACCTCAAAGATGCCTATTTTCACATAACAATCCATCCCAACCACAGAAAATACCTACGGTTCATATTTCAGAACACCATCTACCAATTTCGAGCCCTCCCATTCGGGCTCTCGACGGCCCCAAGAACATTCACAAAGTGCATGGCACCCATGGTGGCTTACCTATGTCTACACAAAATCCACGTTTATCTTTACATCGATGATTGGCTGGTGGTCTTGCCATCGAGACACCAAGCCCTACGGGACACCAGGTTCATACTCCGGACTCTAAAGGATCTCGCCCTTTCAGTCAATGCCAAAAAGTCACATCTCGTACCATCACAGATAATAGATTGCATAGGAGCCAGGCTGGACTCTATCAAGGGTCAGATATTGCTACCTCCGGAACGTATCCAAAAGATACAAAGAGCCGTACGCAAGTTTCAACCAGGCTTGCATGTCTCTGCGAGGCATGCCCAGCACCTGCTCGGTCTCATGGCATCCACAACACCTGCTCTGGCACATTCCCGTTTGAAGATGAGGTCCCTCCAAACTTGATTTTTGACTCTATTCGATCCCATGCAAGATCACCAGAAGAAACGTCTCCTTATGTCACCAGAGCTAGCTCAGCAACTCTGGTGGTGGAGCTTTCCTCCTCATCTGCTAATATGCCGTCCCTTCAAACCTCTACAACTCTCAGTACAAGTGACAACGGATGCAAGCCCAACAGGATGGGGGGCACATTGTGGAAAACACCAGGCACATGCTCTGTGGTCCAACTGAGACAAAAATCTCCACATCAACCACCTGGAAATTCTGGCGGTCATAAAAGCATTCAGAGCATTCCTACCCCTGATACAAGGTCGTGGTGTGCAACTTGTCACCGACAACACCACAACCATGTATTATATCAACAAGCAGGGAGGTACACACTCCAGACCTCTTCTGTTCCTGGCTGTGCACCTTTGGGAATGGTGCTATCAACACCACATCTTCCCAGTAGCAATACATGTCTCAACAACAGACGAGTTAGCGGACAGACTAAGTCAACTAACAGGCCAAACTCACGAATGGAAGTTGAACGACAAGATCTATGCCATACTATGTCGTCGGTGGGGAACTCCCAGGGTGGACATGTTTGTGAGTCAGCGCAACAAGAAATGCAATCTATATGCCTCAAGGGCAGGTCATGGCAAGGATTCTCTGGGGGATGCATTCATGATCCCTTGGAGCTCAGATCTATTATACCTATTCCCACCACTTCCACTAGTTCAAAAGACTCTGATCAGGATTCGTCAGATGAAGTCAGAAGTGATACTCATTGCACCTTACTGGCCTCGCCAGGCGTGGTTCGCCACACTTCAGATGATGGCCTCGGACTTTGTCAAACTGCCATTTCTCCCGCACCTCCTCACACAGGATGCAGGCAACATACTCCATCCAGATCCAGAGACCTTGCATCTGACAGCGTGGAGAATCAAGTAGGTCCTAGACAACGCTAGAAAACCTTCACAACCCTTCTATATAGTTACAAATGGAATAACTTCCTAAAATTTGCTGAGACCAGACATCTGGAGACTTCTCCTGTTTCATTATGAACTTTACTCCAGTATCTACGATACCTTTTTGACCACAGTTTGACTATTTCCATCCTCAAGGTCCATATCGCTGCGATTGTTTCGTTCCAGCCTAGAGAGTCAGAATCAGCAAGACTGTTCTCTCACCTACTCTAAAGTCTTTCCTTAAGGGGCTTACTAACATCAGACCACCTATTTAAAAAAAAGCAAAGCAAAGCGTGCTGCTTATCTACCGCCCCATAGCGCTTCAAGCCCTCTCTGGGCGGTTTACAATTTAATTATGCAGGCTACACATTGCCCCCCCCCAAGCAAGCTGAGTACTCATTTTACCGACCTCGGAAGGATAGAAGGCTGAGTCAACCTTGAGCCGGCTACCTGGGATTTGAACCCCAGGTCGTGAGCACAGTTTTGGCTGCAGTACAGCGGTTTAACCACTGCACCACGAGGCTCCTCCAACTCCTCAGTGGTCCCTTCAATTGGTTCTATATGCTCTTATGTGACCTCCCTTTGAACCAATGGCCACATGTGACCTTCATCTGCTATTGTTCAAATCACTATTTTTGGTGGCCATTACATCTGCTTGGAGAGCAAGTGAACTAGCAGCACTGAGATCTCACCAGCCATACCTACAGTTTTTTAAGGACAAGGTAGTGCTTCACCCAGACATATCCTTTCTGCCTAAGGTAGTCACCGACTTCCATCTCAACCAGCCACTCATGTTGCCTATTCTCTTCCCGGATCCAAGCGCATGCTCTATACCCTGGATGTGAGAAGAGCATTAGCTTTTTATGTATCCCGTACCAAATAGTTCCGTAAGTTGCATAGACTTTTCCTGTGCTATGGGCAGAAGAAAGGCTCTCCAGCTTCGTCGTCTACCCTCTCCAAATGGCTTGTCTCCACCATTTCTCTAGCATATGAGCTTCACCATAAAACTCCACCTGAAGGCCTTCGAGCTCACTCAACTAGAGCCATGGCTACATCCATACCCCTGCTACGTGGCATTGATGTACCTGACATCTGTAGAACAGCTACGGGGTCTAATGTGTCAACTTTCATAACTCACTACAGATTAGACCTCAGGGCTAAGAGGGAGACAGGCTTCGGGAGAGCGGTGCTGACATCCATTCTGCAGTGACGGCCCTCCTTCCGGTAAGTGAGCGTGCTAGTCACCCTTTTGTGTGCATTCACAGAGGCCATGATGAAGAAAGACAGGTTACTTACCTGTAACCATGGTTCTTCAAGTGGACCTCTGTGAATTCACACATCCCGCCCAGCCTCCCCACTATCCGTCACTGACTAAGTCTATATAAGCTCAGGCTTCTGTGGCGGATAAATGGAACTGAGGGCTGAGGTGGGCGGAGCATGCGCTATAGAGGCAACTTAAACTTGTTACTTTTCTCTTAAAGCTCTAGAAGATTCCGAGAGGTCCAGCGCAGGCGCTGATTTAACCATTTTGTGTGAATTCACTGAGGTCCACTTGAAGAACCATGGTTACAGGTAAGTAACCTGTCTTTTTACAGTATGACTGTTAGGCCACTGCTCTGCCTCCCACTCTGAAAGGAGGAGTGGAGGAGGAGGAGTGGAGGATTGAGGACTAGAGGAGATCAGTCAAGTTCCCATAACCACAGCAAACAAAGGGGGGGGCACTTTCAGCTGTGGGACCAGAAAGGAAAGCGTTAGTAGGGCTGCACATTTATTTGTTTGCTTATTTAACATTTTTACAAACCGCATCATAGTCCAATGTGTTTGTGATTCCAATTTGTATCTTGTACTAATGCAAGACTTCTATAGGTTGACAGTGGTCTTGAACCAAGTATATAAGGAGTGAATGGTTCCACAGTTAACCAACCTTGATAGGTCTTAAAGTTTTCTAGGGCTTTAAACACACAAGAACTTCCAACTTGGTCTGATAGCTAATAAGTAGTTGATGTAGTTCTTACAGCAGATGTATCACATGATGACTATATGTTTCAGTCTTAGTCTGCTCATGCTCATGCAGCCCACCATGACATGTAAATACTGGTCTAGAACATGTAGCGTCTCAAATGGTTCAGGTGGCACAGAGAATTAGACTTGGGTACAGACAACATACTGATGACATCTAAACTCCAAATTCTTTGATGGTGGAATACAGCAGCTTCACATAGATGTTAAATAGGACTGAGAACAAAGTGGAACCATGTGGCACCCTCAGCACAGCCACCAAAGTTTTGAGGAATAGATTCTATTGCTACTTTCTCAGATAAACTCTGGAAATAGGAACAGACTCCCTGAAACTCATGACTCTTAAGTACCCATGAAGTCACTCTAGCAGGTTAACATAGTTATGTCAAATGCCATGCAAAGATGACAGGATGGCTTTCTTCCCATCCCTGTCTCAATAAGTTCAGCCATTAAGATGATAAGGTTAATTTTAGTCCACAGGCCAGGTATGAATCATAGCTATAATGGATATAATATTTGCTATCACCCTCATGATTCTTGAGTATCTTCTTCCAAAATGTATATTAGCAGGTGGGTGGTAGTAGTGTAATTATTCAGTCCATCCTTGGCTTCTTTAAGAGTAATCACATTATTATCTGCTTAACAGCAGCAGTACCAGTCTACTATGTAATGAGTAGTTTTAATCAGCCAAGAAGCACAAGGATTGAGGGATCATGTGGCTGGTCCTATAACTGCAAACTGCTGTTCACATCATCAGGACTCATCAACAGAAACTGATTCCATAAAAGTAGGCTTTATGTATCATTGGGTGACCTCACAATTGAGCATCAGAAAAAACTGTTCAACTCCGTTTCCATCA